GCAAAGCCAGGGCTGGGTCTGCCTCTTCCGAGGGCAGCGCTTGGAGGTTCACCACCTGATCGCTGAAGGGAGTAGAGGGAACCTTGGGCACATAGCCGGGCCGGGGCCTTAGGGTCACCTGGGAATCAGCCGGCCCGAACTCTAGGCACGAATCATTGACCAAAAATGCATGCAGGTCCCCTACCCTCTTGATGGAGGCCAATGCCAGCAGAAGCAGAGTCTTCATTGAGAGGAACTTCAGCTAAACCGTCTGCAAAGGCTCAAATGGGCCCTGCTGTAGTGCCCTAGAGTCAGGTCCCAAGAGGGTATAGAGGGCGGCCATGGAGGATTTAACCTTCTCGCCCCCTTAAGGAACCTGACGACCAGGTCGTGCTTCCCCAGCAACCTTCCTTGTACGGGGTCGTGGTTAGCAGCAATTGCAGCGACATAAACTTTCAGGGTGGAGGGAGACAGCCTTCGCTCCAACACTTGCTGCAAAAAAGACAGCACAACTATGATCGGGCATCTTCGGGGGTCTTCTCGGCGAGAAGAACACCACTCAACGAACAGGTTCCACTTCAAAGCGTAGGCATGTCTCGCAGACGGTACTCTTGCTGAAGTGACAACTACCTATTGGGTTAGGCGACTTAGAACCTCCGCGTCCCGTCCAGGGACCGGACATGTAGTTTCCAGAGGTCTGGACGCGGGTGCCAAAGGGTGCCCCGTCTCTGAGTCAGTAAATCCTTCCTCAGAGGAATCGGCCAAGGAGGAAGCACCAAATCCCTGTGCTCACACAACTGATCCTGAGACTGAGCGAGTATGAGCCAATCGTCGAGGTAGTTGAGAATGTGAATGCCCTGTTCTCTCATGGGAACAAGGGTTGCCTCCGTAACTTTCGTAAAGACATGGAGCGACAGGGACAACCCGAAGGGCTGTACCTTGTACTGGTATGCCCGCCCCTCGAACGCAAACCGCAGGAATGGCCTGTGGGCGTGGAAGGATTGAAACTTAGAAGTACGCGTCCTTCAGGTCGATCGCTACGAACCAATCTCGGGGACGGATACACCTGAAGATTAATTTCTGCATGAGCATCTTGAACGGGAGCCTGTGAAGGGCCAAGATAGGTCTCAACCCACCGCCTTTCTTGGGTACAATGAAATAAGTGCTGTAAAACCCTGACCTCATATAGGCTGGAGGAACCGGCTCTATCGCGTCCTTCGCCAGTAGGACTGTGATCTCTGCACGCAAGACAGGGGCATCTGCTGCTTTCACTGACGTGAAGTGGACGCCCCTGAACCTGGGAGGGCACCGGGCGAACTGAATCGCGTAGCCGAGCCTGACAGTTCGACGGAGCCATCGAGACTGGCTGGGTAGCTCTAGCCAGGCTCTCAGACACCGCGCAAGTGTCATCAACGGAACTACAGGCGTACCCGCAGTGGGGCATCGCGGAAGAATGCAGGGACCCAGCCCGGACGTCTCTTTGCCGGTCCGAGGCGGGGTCTGGGTGTGTGTAACACTGACCTGCATTTGAGCAGAGGGTGCGTGGGTAGTCTGTTGGTTCGTCCTCCCGATCCGCCCGCTGCTGCTCACTGGCGAGAAAGGAGGGTGAGTGTGATACGGCCCTGGATCGTCCACAGCCCCCCGTCCCCTCAGGGTACCCAGAGAATGAAGAAATTGCTCTTTTGTTGAGAATTTGGGTACCACTGGCCGCGAGGTCAGTGGCAGAAAAAAGGAAACAAAAGATTCTCCGCCTGGCCCTCCTCCGGGGGAGGGAGTGGTGCATTCACCACCTCCCGAAGAGCAACTTCCTCCATCTCTTGGTCGCCCGTCTCAGGGCCTCTTGCTCTTTCGCTTACCGCCAGGTCTGGCGGGGGCCTGGATGGGCGGGGCAGCAGCCCTGCGACTGGCTCCACGGTGCATCTTTGCTGGAGGCTGCTGCGAATGCTGTGCGGGAGTGGGGGCGGCGGCCGGGGGTCGCCCTCAGCGACAAGCAGGCTTGGGCGCTGCCACCGGCGGCTGGGTGGAGGCAGCAGCTGCACGCCAGGACAGGATGTGTTTGATGGCCTCAGTCTGCTTTTGGGCAGCAGAGAACTGCTGGGCGAAGTTCTCCACTGTGTCGAGGTCCGTCGCGGTGCGGAGCTCCGTGAGAACTTCCGGGTCGTGACCACCCTCGTGCAAGTTCCTCAGTGACTTGGCCTGGTGTACTTGCAGCAACGCCGAAGCGTGTAAGGCGGATGCAGCTTCTCCACAGGCCATATACGCACTGCCGATCAGAGCCGACGAGTGCCTACAGCCTCGGGAGGGGAGCAACGGTTTGCCCCGCTAAGTGGTAGCGGCATTTGGACACAATTGCATCGCAACAGACCGCTCCACCTGGGGAACTCCCATATACCCCCTCACTGAACCCCCATCAAGGCATAGCCATCATTTCCGGGTCCGTATCCGGCACCGCTGGCCGCCCAGAGGGCGGCAACGCTGACGGATCTTCATCCCCAGAAAAGTCTGGCTCACCCTCCGATGCTGCGACCGACATCCGATCGTCAGGGGGAGCCTCGGAAGAAACAGGTGGTATCCCCCGGGAGGATCCAGCCTGCTCTCTCGAGGGCTCCGCTGGCTTCGAAGTTGTAGGAGGGGAATTCCTCACCGTGACCGTGAGACCAGTCCGCCCACTGCCAGAAAAAGGGTACCTCCGGCTGCCACCAGAGGGAACCCTAGATCTAGGCAGTGGCACGGGCACTCCGCCCCCTTGCAGGTAACGGAGTCTGGTCCGCAACTCCGAGATGGTCATACCCCCGCAATGGGAGCATGAGGCATCCACGAAAGCCACCTCAGCGTGCTTCATGCCCAGGCACGAGAGGCAGCGATCGTGACCATCACCCGGTGCCAGGTAACGACCGCACCCAGAAACACACGGGTGGTAAGACATCTTTAAAAAGACACGTCTTCAAAAAGACGTTCCACCGTGAAGCTCTTTTAGGATGGAAAATCGCTCTTTCAGTGTGCTGAAGCGCACAGGGGAGATGGCCGTCTGCAACACACACAGGGGTAGTGCAGCCTGCTGTGTGCAACCCACTCGACACGGGAAAACCACCGCCGCTGAAGCGCCGTACCACCAGCACGAGAGCCCACAAAAAGCGTGCTTGACTTGTAGTCTTTACTCTCTACTTGTAGAAGGTCAGGAGCAGAACGATAGAACCGCTCGGCTCCGAAGCGAAAAGCTGAATATGCGCTGCATCTGCTGCCTACTTATACTCACGCTGTGATCAGCAGCAGCTGGATGCAATAATCGCATGCCAATGTGCATTGGCTTGTTTAGTTTACACTCGAAGTGGATTGGTCTCTCTAAGCGAGATCCCAATTTCGTCGGTCATCCGACGTGACGTCGAGAGTGACCGACTGAAAGGGAACTAACAATGAACAATATACAGTGTTTATTAATCTTTGTTAATGTTAATTTATAAAAATACTACACTTCATTTTGTTATTGTTAGTTCACAGTGCATTAACTAATGTTAACAGATGAGTTTAAACATATTAGTAATGTCGCAATTAACATCAACTTGGATTAACATGCTGTAGAAGTACTGTTTGTTTATATAAGTGTTGTAAAGTGTTACATATATTTGTATATATCTGAAGACTGAAAGAAAACCCCTTTAAATGTAACATTGCTAGAAATAAAGTCTTATATTTTAGCATATTTTAGCCTGCTCTAGCTAACTAATAATGGAAATACAGGACGTTTTGACACGATTCAGTGTCTGAACAAAGGTTTTTTTTTTATTATTATTGTTATTGCAAAAGTTCAATTGGTTTCCTTGTTAAGAGAAACCAGACTGAGAGTTTAAAATCAAGCAGTAGTTTGGTATGATTTTCAAATGAGTTTTGAATCAAATGTAAATGTAATGTTTTTTTCTCAGTTTTTGGTCTGCTTCATAACTGTTTATTTAATAGTTGTTGGAAATCCCTGTGGAGAAAAACATTTCTGGAACCGAGGCTGCTGAGAAAGTGGGTGGTCAATGAGAGTCATGCCTTTGTCAAATTGTAGGTGATAATCTGGGATTCTGTGGCGATCCGGGAATTCCTCCTCATGGTTCTCGTCTTGGGGAGGAGTTCAGGCATAAAAGCCTCCTACGGTTCACGTGCGAAGCGGGCTACACGCTGATCGGATCTCCCGAGTGCACATGTCTGCAGAACGGCTCCTGGAGCAGAACCCAGCCCGTGTGTGAAGGTAAGGGTCACAGAGACACACACGGCGAAATTCACCAGGATTTTGCTTTGCACTTGAGCTTAATTAGATCAGAAAGTCAAGCGTTCCTCCGAGCAAACTGTGATCCAGTACAGGCAACGGCCTAATGAGAAAAATGTATGCTTGAGAGACTAGGGGTTTTTAGTCTGTGCCTTTAAAAAAGGTTTAAATATATTCTTAGAACCTAAAGCAGGCTCAAATTACAACATGTTCTCTTTGTTTCTGAACCTCACTTAACCTGCTCTGCTCATTCTTTTCCTGAAATTGTACACCCTGTAATTAGTGTAAAATTGATCTTTTGATGCTAACTGGCCTAAAATCTGTAATTTCCAGTTAACTCAATGAATCTGGTTAGTGGAGCCACACAAAAGGCCTGTCATTAGCATGGTCTGTAATGATACATTGCTTTAGTAAGGATTTGTGAATAGCCTGCTCTAGCTAACTGCTAATGGAAATACAGGAAGTTTTGACATGATTCAGAGTCTGAGCAAAGTTTTTTTTTTATTATTATTATTATTGAAAAAGTTCAATTGGTTTCCTAGCTAAGAGAAACTAGACTGAGAGTTTAAAATCTATAAAGTAGCAGTTTATTCTTTGCGATTCCTAGACAATATAGTTATTTTTGCGACTGACCTTATTGCATATACATTTGTAGGAGTTTCCCCTTCAGTTGCAAAATTTATGGGAGAAGAGTATTTAAATTAATCATGTAAGGTGATTTACTAAGGTTTGCGGTAGTCAGTTTACTGGTAATATGTGCCATTATTTCATGCCCAGAAAAAAAAAAACTATATATGTATTGAGAGGGGATTGTACATATTCATGTTCTTTGTCGTTTTCCTCCATATTTCCCAAATGCAGTCCCTGTATGTGTTTTTGATCACCCACTCTTGCCTGTCTCTGTTAGCAAATTTTATACAAATTAGTTTATGCATAATTTATATTTAGTTTAATGGAAATCAGCTAATCAAATTTTCTATCTAATTAACCAACACCTATGCATTTGTCAGTTTCATTGCACAGGTCCAATGTATATCTCAATCTGAAATTTTGTTATTCTCAAATGAAAACAAAATAATAACAGCGCTCAGCAAATAAACCTCCTGGAAGCTAGAAGTCGGAATCACCCCAGGAAGTATTTATACCATATTTTTAGAGGAACACAACAATGAACCCAGTAGCTTAATGTGTTTTATTCCTAATTTATTTGTTTGTTTTCTGCTACAGACAGTATGATGGGGTTGCATAAAATAGATCGATAATATACATTATTCAGGGCACATTCATAATTGAATAAGGGCTTTAACAGATGGCTGTGAGAGATCGCTGTTGGGGGTAACTCAACGGTGAGCTTTGTAAGAATACAGACAATACTTTCCAGATACTAGATATAAAACACAAGGCTGTTGCCACTTACAAATAATGACTTAAAGTTTGGAACTATGTCTGCTTACAGCCGCCCTCCACTGGGATCCCATTAACTCTTAATTGGTCCAGTTTTTCTCTATTTACTTAAGTTGTATATTATTTAGTCCAAGAGGATATGAGGGCCAAATTACAGCTCCAAAGCTTGATGCTAATAAAGATTAAGCGAGTCGTTTATGTCTCCAACTATTTCAACAATTTCTGCTGATTAAAATAACCCAGAGAGGGTAAAACTTCAAAGATAATTGTAAAAGTTTTTAGTATTGTAATGATTTCTTAACTATAACCTATCTGACAACCAGTTGATCTTCAGTATGCTCTTGGAGCATAAACAACACTCTTAAATTCTTCTTCAATAGAAATGAAAATTAGTAATTTATATATAATTTATAGTTGCGCTTTGTTCATCATAATTTAGAAAGCATTAGTGGAAAGCTGTGCGATATGGACACCCGATGTAAGGTGTGCACCAGTGTGCAAATCGAAATTCTAATTATTACTATTTGAAGGTACCAACAAATAAATAAATAAAACATTTAAGTTGGAACTAAGTTGATCTACCCTGCTAACAACACTGCAAAACACTCTTAATTTATTGTTCTTTGTTTCCACAATAGCAGTCAAAATGTATCATTTAAATATTATTGGCTGTTGCACGTTAGTCGTCATAATTTAGAAAAGCACTGGTGAAAACTGTCGTATGGACGCCCAACCAATTTATGGCTGTCAAGCATGTTTGTGCTATTAGAATTCAAACTCTAATTAACCACATCGGAGCGTATCATCTTTACTTCCCTTATCTGAAAATGCCACTTCAAAGTATAAAGGGGGAAAAAAATCTCGTCAAAAGCTCCAACTAATTAGAAAAGGAAGTTCATCTACCTTGCCACCAAAACGCTGCAGGCTGCAAAACACAGTGCTTGTGGTGTAATTGGAAGTGTTTTGCTTGTGGTGCTAGCCCTTAGATACAGTGGGTACGGAAAGTATTCAGACCCCCTTAAATTTTTCACTCTTTGTTATATTGCAGCCATTTGCTAAAATCATTTAAGTTAATTTTTTTTCCTCATTAATGTACACACAGCACCCCATATTGACAGAAAAACACAGAATTGTTGACATTTTTGCAGATTTATTAAAAAAGAAAAACTGAAATATCACATGGTCCTAAGTATTCAGACCCTTTGCTCAGTATTTAGTAGAAGCACCCTTTTGATCTAATACAGCCATGAGTCTTTTTGGGAAAGATGCAACAAGTTTTTCACACCTGGATTTGGGGATCCTCTGCCATTCCTCCTTGCAGATCCTCTCCAGTTCTGTCAGGTTGGATGGTAAACATTGGTGGACAGCCATTTTTAGGTCTCTCCAGAGATGCCCAATTGGGTTTAAGTCAGGGCTCTGGCTGGGCCAGTCAAGAACAGTCACAGAGTTGTTGTGAAGCCACTCCTTCATTATTTTAGCTGTGTGCTTAGGGTCATTGTCTTGTTGGAACGTAAACCTTCGGCCCAGTCTGAGGTCCTGAGCACTCTGGAGAAAGTTTTCGTCCAGGATATCCCTGTACTTGGCCGCATTCATCTTTCCCTCAATTCCAACCAGTCGTCCTGTCCCTGCAGCTGAAAAACACCCCCACAGCATGATGCTGCCACCACCATGCTTCACTGCTGGGACTGTATTGGACAGGTGATGAGCAGTGCCTGGTTTTCCCCACACATACCGCTTAGAATTAAGGCCAAAAAGTTCTATCTTGGCCTCATCCGACCAGAGAATCTTATTTCTCACCATCTCACAACTCCATGCGGGCTTTCATGTGTCTTGCACGGAGAGTCTTCCGTCGGGCCACTCTGCCATAAAGCCCCGACTGGTGGAGGGCTGCAGTGATGGTTGACTTTCTAAAACTTTCTCCCATCTCCCGACTGCATCTCTGGAGCTCAGCCACAGTGATCTTTGGGTTCTTCTTTACCTCTCTCACCAAGGCTCTTCTCCCCCGATAGCTCAGTTTGGCCAGACGGCCAGCTCTAGGAAGGGTTCTGGTCATCCCAAACGTCTTCCATTTAAGGAATGGAGGCCACTGTGCTCTTAGGAACCTTAAGTGCAGCAGAAATTTTTTTGTAACCTTGGCCAGATCTGTGCCTTGCCACAATTCTGTCTCTGAGCTCTTCAGGCAGTTCCTTTGACCTCATGATTCTCATTTGCTCTGACATGCACTGTGAGCTGTAAGGTCTTATATAGACAGGTGTGTGGCTTTCCTAATCAAGTCCAATCAGTATAATCAAACACAGCTGGACTCAAATGAAGGTGTAGAACCATCTCAAGGATGATCAGAAGAAATGGACAGCACCTGAGTTAAATATATGAGTGTCACAGCAAAGGGTCTGAATACTTAGGACCATGTGATATTTCAGTTTTTCTTTTTTAATAAATCTGCAAAAATGTCAACAATTCTGTGTTTTTCTGTCAATATGGGGTGCTGTGTGTACATTAATGAGGAAAAAAAATTAACTTAAATGATTTTAGCAAATGGCTGCAATATAACAAAGAGTGAAAAATTTAAGGGGGTCTGAATACTTTCCGTACCCACTGTATGTTTCCCAGAAGCTCTTCTCTCTCGATTGCGTTTTCAGTCCCGCAGAGCTGCGATCTTTTACTCCTCACATTCTCTCTTTAACTTCTTTGGTCTTTAACTGCCTTCCCAGCTGTATCCTGTGGAAACCCTGGAACGCCGGCCTACGCCAGGATCGTTTTCAGCGACGGTATGCTGTTTCCTAGCTCAGTGACGTACGCCTGCTGGGAGGGCTACAAGACCTCTGGCCTCACCACTCGCCATTGCACCACCAATGGCACCTGGACCGGCTCAGCACCAGATTGCATTGGTTAGAACCGCAACCTTTACACTCTTTGATTATCGCTAAATCCTGCTATTGTAATTACACAAGCATTGCTTATGTAATGTACCCTGTGTGCTTCAGGAGTTGCACAGGTGGCTGATTAGTTCTGCCACAAGTCACGTTGTTTACACAGATTCGATGCATCAATTAAAGTCTAACTTCTTAAAAAAAAAAAGGGGGGGGGGTCTTCATCATTCCATAAATTTCAGCTGTGTGATTTAAGTTTTGTGCAAAGGCCAGTAATGGGAAAATATACAATGCGGTTCAAAATCTGATACGACAATGAAAATCTGAGATGTAGATAATTATTTAGGCCTGAATAGAACAGACAAATTCAAAACAAAGACAAGTTAACAACATATTCAAGATTCTGCACTATTTGTAGATCAGTAATTACATCTGTGACATTGATCATGTTTTTCTATGAAAGGTAAGATGTATTTGATTCCACAGAAGCACAAAATGGTCTTAGGAACATTCTCAAATCATACTGGATGAACATGATCATCAGGTTTTACACAAATTTGTGGAACACTATTGCTGCTGTCATTAAAACAAAAGGTGTATGGAACAAACTATGAAGATATTCTGACATTTCATGTTATTTTTTTTTTACTCACACTGTTGTTCTGATAATATATTATTAATGAGAAATGTAAAACAAAGTACATTAAATAAAGGCAATTTGTTAGCATTCCCAATTTTGGAACTACATTAAGGTAAACATAATACAAACCTAAAGGTAACCCAAATGTCATGCAAAATGTTTTCTCATTTTGTTATGTTGCATATTTATTCTGTAATGGTTTACTTTTTGTTCACATCCATCTACACCCCATTCCCACATCTGTCTATAATGTCTAAAAGCTAGAAATGCATATGAAGTTGTATGGAGTGCAGATTGATGTGAACAGAAAGAATATAGTTTGCACAATAAATGGTTGTATTGATGTTCAATTCATATCATTCAGTTGTCTAGAACTTGCTTATTTTTATTATAAAGAATATATTTTCAACTGCAATCTCTATGTTTTATTATAGAATTTAAAAAAATGTCTGAGTCTAGCTTGTTCTCTCGCTTTGCAGTTATCAGCTGTGGGGATCCTGGTCCAATTGCCAATGGAATATACACTGGATTTGAGTTCATATTTAACAAAACCGTCCACTATCGCTGTAACCCTGGGTATGTGATGGAGCCCCCTGGTTCATCTACTCTACGCTGCAGCAAAGATGGCACTTGGAATCAGACCAAACCAAGCTGCAGAGGTAAGGAAGTATAGTTCTCCACGATTCTCTCTGTGCAGGCAGAGAGGGCAGCGTATCCTGTCACTCTGCAAACAGCATCATGAGAGCTTTTAAGAGATATACTAATATTGTGGAGTTCTTAGCATCCCAACATCAAAAGCCTTTCAGATGTTTTTGATCTTTGTTTTTTTTACTTGCCTGGCAAGTGAGATTATTCACTTATGAACTCCAAGGAGACGTTGCCATGAAATCTGTAGGATCTATGTTATCAGATGTCAAAATGAAATTAGCGAGTGGTGCAATGCAGACAGCTCAGTCACGATCATTTCTAGAAAATATCAGATACATGTTTTCGGACGCGGGAGGAAATGCAATGGCTGCTTGAAATTCAGAGTGATTTTAGTGCGTAATCCCATTTAATTATTGCTTCCTCCTGTTAACAAACGGAACGTAATGATCATGGAAAGAAAATAAATAACTCTAAGCCTCTTGTTAGCATACTATTCTTTCAGATCGTCCTTTTCCGCGTCTGAACAAGTGAAAGAAGGAGGTGTTGGGTCTGGACACATCTTCAGTCAATAATAATGATGATGATGAAATCAGGGCTGTTCAGAATGCCTTTAAAATGCCTTTCAGTTCCTTAGTTTGAACTGAGGTAGCAAACGGAATATGGAATTTGATTTTGAATCTGAATGTAGGACAGTCAAATAAAATTCAGAATCACTGCTGTAAGTGTAGTTTTTAATGCTACATGGGACACTTCGAGAAATATTTGCTTATATTGATAATCGCTGTTTAAAAAGCCACCTATAGAGGCTTGTATTTAATTTCTATACTATATGTGAACCTGGACCACAAAACCAGTCTTAAGTCGCTGGGGTATATTTGTAGCAATAGCCAAAAAACATTGTATGGGTCAAAATTATAGATTTTTCTTTTATGCCAAAAATCATTCGGATATTAAGTAAAGATCATGTTCCATGAAGATATTTTGTACATTTCCTACCGTAAATATATCAAAACTTAATTTTTGATTAGTAATATGCATGGCTAAGAACTTCATTTGGACAACTTTAAAGCCGATTTTTTCAGTTTTTTTTTTTTTTTTTTGCACCCTCAGATTCCAGATTTTCAAATAGTTGTATCTCGGCCAAATATTGTCCTATCCTAACAAACCATACATCAATGGAAAGCTTAGTTATTCAGCTTGTATGTATAATATAATGATGTATAAATCTCAATTTCAAAAAATGTACCCTTATGACTGGTTTTATGGTCCAGGGTCACATATGTGTAGTTGACATTAACTATTTTGAGACATATGCTGTAGTATGACAAAACACTTTTCTAATTATAGAATAATGATTAGCCATGCAGCATTTATGAACTCATTAATTTGGAGATTACATGGAACTTTTTAAAAATTCATTTGTCATACCTCAGGACCATTTATGAAGGAAAAAAGGTGATTAAAAACAGTGCAAATTTTACAAGAGATGGTGTTCAGTTACTGCATGTAAAAATGTCCTTAATGCATTATTATACATTTTTAAATGTAACATTTTTATATTGACAAAAAAACTAATCTGCTGTTAAGCATCAACTACATATACTGTATTGTTGACAATGGTCAAACAGAATGCTGTAATTTATGGCAAATTTTGATGATTTTTTTTTTTAAGTTATATGAAAGTGTGATGCTTTTTACATTATTTTATTATTATTATTATTTTTTTTTTAGTATTGAGAAATATGTGCAATCAGTTAAAGATGTATTCTACATATCACATATTAGTAAATTTTGACAGGATTAGCCCCACTAATTATAATTTATGTGTGTTGTCAAAACTTGGACTAATGGAAACCTTTTGTAGTATGAGTGTGTTAAATTTCTTTAAATTGCAATGCAGTAATATACTAAAGATCCAGTGAGCTTTGGCCAATTCAAATTCCACCCCATAAAATGAAAAGGGAGCCAATTCATGAATACTGCATACTGTCTAACTTTGTTGTGGTGGTGTTTTTCAGTCATCATGTGTGGCCAGCCTCCAGCTATCCACAATGGGCGAGTGGAGGGCTCAGACCGGCAGTGGGGTTCTAGTGTTACCTACAGCTGCTTTGAAGGATACCAGTTGTCCTCTCCTGGAATAGCCACATGTGAAGGGAACGGCTCATGGCGTGGCGAAATCCCACAGTGTCTGCGTGAGTACCGTTCTGTTCCATTAACAGAAAACAGAATTAAACTCCATTAGCACATTCATGAAAAGAGGATGTAAACAATGTGTTTTGCTTCAGTAGACAGCATATTTAATTGCAAATGAAAATGAGGCTGTGAGGGATATAAGTACAGTTTGTACTTTAGAACGCTTTCTGCAGTTCTTCTTGTCCACTGAAAATTCATGGAAAGTTGTATTTACAAGGTACAGTATACATTTCTTTGTCACTCTCATATTTGAAGAAACAAAACAAAAAACAGTTGGCTGTCCAAATACATCTTCTGCAGTATAAATGATATAGGAAAATCTCAACCATCTTGACAAATTTCTGCCATCATAGCGCCCTGCTGTAAATCCAAATATGGGCCAAAAGTTGATATTTTCGGTGGCGGCTGTTGTTGTGTTTGGAGTATTGTGTCGCTATGATGGAAGGTTCATGGCTTGACTGTGTGAAGCGCAGCTACAGCACATCATAAAACCTGTTTTGACATTTTCAATACAAGTGTCAAAACATCACAAATGGATCCCTCAAGTAGCCTGGCTTTCCGGCATGCAGCGTAAGAGGTACGAGGTGCATGCACGGAATCTATCGGTAAATCCTTCTGGCTTTTATTGTAAGCCTTTGACACAATGTTAGCGGTTACAACAGAAATTCTCGTTAAAAGTGCCAGAAAAAAAGAAACCATATTGTAAGTGCAAACACCAAAAAGTACTATTATATAGAAGAGAACAGGGCTAGTTGTCTGACAGAGAAGATGTCATGAAGACTATATCCCAGTAAAAGTTTGAAGACAAAAGACACAAGTGCTTGTTTTCTCCAGAAGTGTTTTTTATGTTTCTTGTTCAATACCTTTTTTTTTTTTATTTGATTATCCAAGCTATTATATATATTATATACATATATATTTATATGTTGTAATTTTATACAATTTATTACTTGGATCATTTGAATTCATGTAAAGTAAGGTACGAGAGGTCATGGTGTGAATACAGTCACCGCTAAAGAGGTTTTATAAAAAGCAGAGTGCATTCACAATACAGCATGTCCTCAAGTACCCTTTTTCTTTTATAAAACAAACATTATAATTTCTTAAAGTCAAAAAGATGTATTAATATGTTACTTTTTGAAGTAAAACCATCAAATACCATCCTTCCACTAGAAAAAAATTGTCCCTGACCATAAACAGCAACAGAATGTTACTGTAGGTGTAACATGTTTCCTCACGCATATATGTGTGTTGCGCTCTCAGCATGAGAAAACATTTTAAATCAGTTTGCGGCGCAGTGCAAGTCTGCATAAGGAGCATCATTAAACAGTGTAACTCGATGAACATACAGTATCATACCTGAAATAGAAAACTTTTGAATGTTATCCTTTGTGCACAACTCAACGGCTACATATGTAACTGTCCGTAAATTATTTATTTGCCAGATAATCATTTGGTTTGTTGGTATGTGGATGATTTCATGCGCAAGGAAAGCTGTCTGCAAATTGCTTGCCCAAAAATGTGCTGTTGCTACCATATCTTGATTACCAAAAATCACATTGTATTCGATGCAAAACTAACTTGATCAAATGAAAAAAATAAAATATAATGTAACTCTAAATTTAATACTCTATATATACTTTTGTGTTTTCTCAAGCAAAGCAAATTTTGAAAGTCTACTGAAAACATATCTACTTACATGTTTTTGAATAGATAAAATATTTTGAAAGTACGTTATTTGGCAACATGGGTGTGCGAACTAATCAAAAGAACCATTTCTGAGGATTTTTTTTTTGTTCAATTTGTTTACCCAAATCTCAATGCTTGACAATCTGGCATGTTTCTAACTTGCATAAGCTATAGTGTGAAAATATGCCTTGCTTTTTGCTTTAGGAAAAAGGATGACAGCTAGTCCTGGTCTCCCCTAAAGTACATACAGTAACTCACAATGCAGCACAATGCTGAATACTGCAGGCTGGTTGATATTCAGCCTTCTCCGTTTCACCTAGATCACACCTCAGCTACACTTCTTCCACTGGCTCCCTATGCCTGCAAGAATCAAGTTCAAACATTTGTCCTAGCGTACAAAGCAGTCATTGGTCAGGCATCCACCACCATCCAATCCATGCTGACACCTAGGACTACTCAGCCTCTTATCCAAACATGTGACAGATTCAACTTAAAATGAAAAACTTGGGGGAAAGAAAGGGTCTACTGTAAATCTTCAGTTGCAGACTGTAGACTCACTTCTTTCAGCATTGTATTAATACCAAATCGTTGTTGATTTTTGGCTTGTTTATTTCCCCAAGATTGCATTGTATCTATATTAGCTGTTATGTAGTAGCCCTTTGCCATCTGTTGATCCTCTCTCAAATGTAATGCTAAAGCACTTTCTAAATGCCTTAAATACTGCAAGAACAAGTGAAGTATCTGAGAATACAAATAAAGAGCACAACTACAAGTGTGACTACTTTTTAAGTCCTGTTTGAGTGTTAAAATTTGTAAAAATCAAACACACCAACACCTTTCACTGCTAAATTGCACTCTTGAAAATGAAAGTAGCTGAACTGAGGCAATGATTGCGAACTAGCGGGCTAACTTTTTTTTTTTGTCCTTTATAGCGGTGTTATGTGGAGATCCAGGCACCCCTGCAGAGGGCTTCATAGAGGGCCGGCAGTTCACCTACAAATCAGAGGTGTCATTCTACTGCAGACCTCCATTCCTGCTGGTGGGCTCCTCAAGAAGAGTTTGTGAGGCATACGGTTCATGGAGTGGAATACAGCCTTCTTGCATTGGTGATCCACTATGTAGCTTGGAAAAAAGCAACGCAATTCCATTGCCATGTGATACATGCACACATATTTATCTATTTAAATAAATTATTCTAAAAGGTGTGAATGTCTTTTTATAGATCCAACCAACAATGCATGTAAGGATCCCGGAACCCCAGCATATGGAATTCCAGTCCAGGCTCAGGGATTTGAGGTGAGAGCAAATGACATCCAATCATTTCTTGTCCTTTAGTTGAGTAAATAACAGGTTGTGTTTCTTTAGTTTCAGGGTTTCAGTCTCAATAAAGTAATTCTCTTCTTTCAGGTTGGAAGTAAAATTTTCTTCAGATGTCGGAAAAACTATCACATCCTCGGCTCAACAACGAGAACATGTTTAGAAAACTTAACATGGAGTGGGATGCAACCAGAGTGTGTTGGTAAGCATCGATATATACAGATTCTGTTCCAAAAGCTAGTGAGCTGCCCATGCTGGCAGCATCATAGCGCCCTGAGCGTGAAAGCTGTTCTGAGTAACCTTCTTTTGGCCAAATTCTAAATTAACATCGCGTATATCCTTTGCACAGAAGGCAATACCAGGTTGCATTGTGACAAGGTCATTTAAAAAAATCAAACTGAGATGGGAAAAATAAGGAATGCATTCAATATTGAAAAAATGTTTCTTAAACTAAATCAGTGTAATTAAAAATAGATTATTTTATACATTGAGTGTTCTACATATTATGTCGCACGCACAGTTTTGGTAACACTTTATTTTAAAGTGCCCCTATTAGGGGTAATTAAATATTTTCATATTTTGGTTTGTAGCACGAAGCAACCGCAGATGCTTCTGACTCCAGAGGAGGCGAGTTGCGATAAGCGACGGGAGCGCAGACCACCTTGCCGGTTGATGTATGCAACGGTCGCTGTGTTGTCTGTGCGGACTAGTACATGCTTGCCTCGTAAGCGCCCTTTGAGACGGCCCAGGGCAAGGTGCACTGCCAGCAACTTGAGGCAGCCAGTGCAGTTGGGGCCCCGTCCAAACCCCTGACACTGCAAGCCCGTTGTATGTGGCCCCCAGCCGGTGGTTGAGGAAAGTAGATTGGTCCCTCTAAGCGAGATCCCAATTTCGTCGGTCATCCGACGTGACGTCGAGAGTGACCGACTGAAAGGGAACCACTATTTTTACCACTCCAAAAGCGGCACCTAGTGGCAAAGAATGAATTTGCATTTTTATTCAGACCAATGTGAAAATACCAACAAGTGGGCGGGCAATATGCTAATGTTTTATGTTGACGTCAACATGAAACGGCTTGGGATTCGTTTTAAAAACGACTTGTTTCAATGATTCAGATTCAACTCTTTCTTTTGACAGACAATAACTGTATACACGGTGCACTTTCAGATTTAAAACTTTGCAGGATGTTTTCATTCGCTTAGAGCTGTGTTACACACTGCATGAAAGGCAATTTTCAAAAATAAAAAATTAAAATTAAGAGTTTATTGAGACAAAAGTCATAGTTAATAGTGAGAATTGAACCTTTAAAATAAAGTGTGACTAGACTTTTTTTTTGCTGTTGTCATCATTTCCAGTCAAAACACATTTTGCAATGCATGAGCTGGAGTTGCTGCAGGTATATTTAACCTGTTAGATATCTCTTGGGCACATATGCAACGCATCTGTCAGATCGTGATCATCACTCACATGACCAAGCACCGATTCGCATCTGATTTCGGGCCTCTTTTGTCATGTCTTCTACGTTTACTGTCGCTGAGCAGAAAATCTAGTGTAAAAACAGAATTAGAGTATCACATTGTTAGCTTAGCAACATGCTAACAGCAAACTCTACTGAAATCAGTTAGGTGCTACTGTGAAGAGCACTATTTGCTGCCTCTGTAGGGCACTTATGATGTTTCATTTCACTTAGCATACTGCCTCAAATGGAAGAATCCTGTGTAGGCATCTGACAGCAAGGCAGCTTCTTAAGTTTTGGAACACAGCCATAGCGTTACATTCGAAACAAGGTTTCATCAGTGTGTGATTGATGATGTACTATCAGGAAAACAAAGGGCGAGAGCGAGATCTTTACACAGGAAATTACTGCAAAAGGGCATTGTTTGAAGAAGTACAGATTACTTCAGAGTTAGGGCGGCTGAGGGTGCTGATGTCAAAGACTCTGACAGTTTAGCAGAGAGAAGTTTGCTATTGCAAATCTACTTTTTGATAGAAGTTCTCTGAGCAGTGTCATGCACTTGATCCTTGCCACTGTCCCAGTGATTATCCTCTAAGCTGTATATGTGGCTTCCACGTTGTGATGCTTTTGTATTGAACTGATTGCTGCAAAAGGAACAAATGTGGGCAAAAGAATTTAAGTTAGCTGAGTTTAAACAGCTTGTACATAAATTTGAGATGTGTGGACCACTTTGACAGAGCGCCGCACCAAATCCTTAGAGCGTCTTTCCTGTGTAAAGCAGTCAAACTGTCAGAAGCTGAGAAGCAGGGAGAATTGAGTTGACGAAAAGTGAGGTGTGAGGACATAGCTCATATATTATGGAAGATGGCAGCACTCAAGGCATGTCCCAGAACATTTCTCTCAGTGGTGTGGCTTTATCTCGACCTTTCTATAGTATGCAGCTGGGACTCCACTGTAAATCTTTCTGATATTGCTTTTATTGCAATTCTCTGTTTATTTTTTTAGGGATGCTCTGGTCAGGATTTTTTAAGCCAATACTGATTTACCATCTTCAGAAGCAACTGATACAATAGTTCAAACAATATTATTAACCAATAATATATTAATAGTTGGATATATAGTATTTCCAACTTTACCTGCAAACATACAGTATCTCATACAGCAGTGCATACCATTGTACATACTACTCTGTATACAGTGATACAGTATATTACAATATATATAGCAAATCGCAGCTGCTTGATTGCTTGTATCTTTACAAAATCTAAACTATATTATAGTCCAGAACAAATCTGCTAAACGCAAGTCATGAAGATATTTATAATGATTAAAAACATTATGATTTTCTGTGAAGCTTATTTGAAACAATGTTTATTGTGAAAAGCTCCATACAGATACATTGACCTGACTTGACTGTGATCAAGCAATGCCATGATTTTTAAGCCAGAATGATTTGTTGTTGTTTTTTTTCCCATTGAAGGTTTTGAAAGCATTTCTGCATTTTCTAGAGACACTGTAATATTCTATAATGTGTGCAGAGTATGTGAGTTTTATTTATATATATATATATATACAGTGGGTACGGAAAGTATTCAGACCCCCTTAAATTTTTCACTCTTTGTTATATTGCAGCCATTTGCTAAAATCATTTAAGTTAATTTTTTTCCTCATTAATGTACACACAGCACCCCATATTGACAGAAAAACACAGAATTGTTGACATTTTTGCAGATTTATTAAAAAAGAAAAACTGAAATATCACATGGTCCTAAGTATTCAGACCCTTTGCTGTGACACTCATATACATGTCTTCATGTATTTTGATGGCACATATTCTACTGACTCTCAAGTAACTTTTCAAAAACATGTCAACATATTCTACTAGCCCTAACCTAACAGTAATAACTAATACTCTACTAACACTCTAATGAGAGACATGTTGTTGCAAATAAATACTAGTTAGTTGGCATGTCATTGCAAAGTTACTTAAAGGTAGTAGAATGTCTAACGTGGGCTGTCAAAATAGAGTGTACCCCAAAAAACAACAAAATAAACTAACTGGCATGAAAGTGATACTTAAGTCTGACCATTAGGCTTATTTCCTGTGAATTACCAAAATGCATGGGTTTATGTGATTGCCCATTGGAAGTAATTGGCTCTGATATGTGGAAATGAGTTTGAGCATCGCTGTTATTTTCTTTCTCCTTCTCTTTTCAGCACATGCCTGTAGGCAGCCTGAGACGCCATCCCATCTAGACGTGAAGGCTATAGACCTGCCTACTCTAGGTTACACACTCATGTATACATGCCAGAATGGTTTCTACCTATCTGGAGGATCAGAGCACAGGACCTGCAAAGCAGATGGGAGGTGGTCAGGCAAACCTCCAGTCTGCAAAGGTACTGAAACAACTGGACTGATAACTTATGCAATGTGGGTTACTGCACCCAAACATGAAAATCCTGAAAAAATTAAAACAGCATAGAGAATACAGTGAGGGAACTATCCCTTAAATACCTACACTGCCCTCACTCTTATTGATTTATAGTGATAAATATGTTTAGTTCTTGGAACCATTTAAGACTAAATATATGACTTGTTTAAACTCTTTGAAAATGTACATTGTTAAACAGAACAGCAGTGTCAGCATTTATGAATGTATGAAAGTTATTAATGTCTGTCAGTTCTCAGAGAAACTACAGCAAGAAACTTTGATTAACCGTCATTACCATTGTGCAGTTTGCATCCACATATGTAAAATGATCAATTATTTGCTCTGTTTCCTAGTTGGACAAAAAATAAACAGCAAATCAAATGAAGATCCAGACCTGCAGAAAAACAAGATCCGTGGTATGAAACCTTTCAAGTTCCCCTTCAATTATCCATTTTGCTACCATCAAAAATAAACTTGGCCTACATGAAGTTGAACCATGGTCACTGGAAATAATGGGCCTGTGATGTTGCATTGCTGAAAATTATATTTTTTTAAATGTCAGAGTAACAAAGATAAAGGTGAAGTGTGATTATTTTCATTGTTAAAATTTGATTGCCTATCCTGCTTTGACTGGCAAAGACCAACTATTTGTAAACCTTTCATAGGTTTTGTAGAAGTGTTTGGGAAACCTGTTTTCCGCTACTATAGCAGAAATTAGACATTTCACCTTTAACATTTAGCAGTGTCCAAAAATTTTTAGACACTTAAGTTACTCTTAAATTATTATTACATTTGTATCAAGTGGAATCTGCAAACAAAGTCTGCTTTACTCAGAACTAACTTCACTTTTCTGTGCCATTTTTACAGTTATGTTTAAGCAGCTGATGTTGGTGAACTTTTACTTGTGAAATCAACTAAGTCATTTACCAGTATGAAATTTGCTTGTCTTTTGTTACCTTTGCACAATTGCATGTGTGCCTCAGACCCCAGAGGGTTAAATGTCCAAATACTTGGGGCCCCTGTATCTACTCAAGTGTATATGCTTGTTCAATTCAAGTTTATTTGTGTAGCGCTTCTCACAATACAAATCGTTGCAAAGCAGCTTTACAGAAAATTAAGTTTCTACAATATATTTAGTAGTAGCTTATCAGTGGTGACTATGTCTAATTGATGTACATGGCAGAAATGTATGGTAAAATTTAGTTAATGACGTAATCAAACAGACAATGAACACTGTTAACAGCAATGATTATATATTGCGATCAAACTTATAGCAAAATTTGGTAGTTTATGTTGTTTCAGGGTTGGCATCATCTGAGGTCCTCTGAGGGTTTGGCATCATCTCTTCTCAGGTGTTCTGGATACAGACTGAAGCTTGCGAAAATCTTAGTTACCATGGGATGTCAATCCCGTGGCAAAAACAGAGAAACAAGTAGAGACATAATTAGCGTATCTGCTGTTCTAAACCAAGCAAAAATTATTTGTTCAACCCAACCCAAGGAATAATAATGTGCATTTGATCAGATATAACTGCAGTACAAGATTATGAGATGCATTTTGTGAATGCTTGGCCAAAGATATGTGTCTTTAATCTAGATTTAAACAGAGAGAGTGTGTCTGAACCCCAAACGTTATCAGGAAGGCTATTCCAGAGTTTGGGAGCCAAATGCGAAAAAGCTCTACCTTCTTGTAATGTATTTCATTTAATTACATAGATGTAGGAATAATTACTGTATGTGTTGTGTTTAGTTCCTGCAGATGTGTTCTCTTTGAACTCTGGTTGGGCTGGATTCTATGAGTATCTGGGAAAGAGACAGGCTGCCACAGTAACAGTCAATGCATTCAATGCCACCACCAGCCGGGTCAACGTCACTCTTCTGGAGCAGAGCGGGGTGCACATTAAACTCTCTGGTAAGTAGGAGTTTTCTCTCACCATGTTCATTGAAGACACTAGGGCTGGGTGGTACAGTATGATGGATATATTGTACGACAGAACAAATTTGTCAGTTGGACGAGGTTTTGCTATACTGTTTATATCTGTAAATATATCCACACAGATGTCAGTGAGCAGGACTACTTTAGGTTATCTGCACTAGAGCACAGCAAGAAACATGAAACGTGAATGTAAAGTGGAATGAAGAATGTTATTAAGTAGCGTTGTTTGTGGGTCAGTATAGAAATCAACTGATGTGCGGTCAGCAGCTGCGGCAACATTATGGCATGTCATTGATCCAAATGTCTTGTTCGAAGATATTTAGGAATCTGCTCTTACATATTAAACATGCTGAAAGAGAAGGATTTTCTTACTTTGATGAGAGATGGAGAGTGAATAATTGAATTAGCATTGCATCTTATTTCTTCAGTGCTGAGATTACATCCAATTTCTCAGATGAATTGAGCAGGCTTGATAGCTATGGATGCTTTCTGCATTTTCCAAATATGTTTTCCTTTGCTCTACTTCCTAGTCCTAGTCCAAAAATAAACAGAAAAGCATTACAAATGCAGGTTTATAAAAGAAATTCCAGATGATGGATATTGTTGGTTATTTCAGTTAATTATTCCCTTATAATGTTGTTGTTGTTTTCTCTCCTTGGGTTGTTTGCAGGAACTTACAAGAAAGAAGAAAATCATCTATTATTAAAAGTTTACCAGATAAGAGGCCCAACAGAACAATATTTTAGCAAATTCAAAAATGATAACTGGGCAATGGATGGATATGTGAGTAGCACAAAAGTGTTAATAATCAAGTTAATAAAGCATTGTATTTTATACTGTGCATGTCATTTGCAATCTTGCATTGCTTTCTTACTCATAAAATAAGTTGTATATTATATTATATTTAATGTTATCTTTATATAATTATATATATATTTTTTTTTGTTTGTTTTTGTTTTTGTTTACCTGTTATACTTAATTTTTTTTATAGGTTACAGCAGAAACGGAGAAAAAAATGTTTGTTTACCAAGGGCACATTCATAGCAAGGACTTTGGGACGTTTCAGTTAACAAGACAAGGTAGATTATTTCATTTCACAGTTTCTCTTTGCTTTTCAAGACATGAAAAGTAAATGAATATTTTAAAATGTATAACATTTATAGATTTAATTCTTATTTAATTTATGATTCCAAACAGATTTTCAGGCAGGTGGTAATTTCAAATAGTTTATTCTGAATTTCCCCTCAGGTCTTATTACCACAGATATGGATCCTTCTAATCCTTACTACGGCACAAACAGCAGTTCTGTTGCAGCTGCCATTCTAGTGCCCTTCTTTGCGCTTATTTTATCAGGGTTTGCCTTTTACCTCTACAAACACAGGTAAGAGAAGCTGACTTTACTGTCTTGTGTGTTGATGTTATTTGTCCGTAATGAATGTGATTCAGCATTGTGTCACTGCAGTGGTAGGAAACTCCTTTGCCAAGCCAGTAATTGTGACCGATATTGCATCTGCCTACAGACGCTAGCAATTCAAACCTCTTAAATTGCCATTGAGTTCAAATTAAGGCAATAAAGTTTAAAAAAGGAGCATGGGAGTTTTCCTACACAAACAAAACAATGTGACAAAGTTGTCATGAAGCATGAGAGTTCCCCGATATTAAAATAATAAAAAAAATTGGCAGGGCTCTATCACAAGGCACAGATGACAATGAGAGACCCAAAGACTTGGCTGCCTCCAGGTAAGTCACCGGAAGCTAATGCCACAGGCAACAAGCCCTTTACAGCCACACCTTCATTGTCTGCATTTTATTTGCTCATCTCATCTGAGGCAGGACAGAGTGCAGGGATTATGGGAAAAGAAGTGACTTACATACTGTTAGATTGTCATTTCTGTCAAGCCTAATTTGACCAACTAAAAGTCATCCTGCTTATTTCTGTTTGTGTACATTTGCCACCGGAATATCATGAGAATTGCATCTGATGTGGTGACACGCCAGAGTCTGTTAGTCAGTGGAAATATGAATTGGGAATGGGATGTAGGTCATTTATTTAGATTTAGACTGTACAATTTTAGCAAGATCATAAATCATCCACTGTCATCCGAGCAAGCCTGGGAATCAGTTACAGTATTCAAAATTTAGATCATCAAGAAGTTAGTGACCTTTCCAAAATGTGATTTTATTTTTTCATGGTTTTAATTATTGGTGGTAAGAAGCAGCAACATTTCCAGTTGAATAAGGAGAGGAGTTTTAAAAATAGCTTATTGCCATATAGAATACCTAAATTATCAACTACTTTTGCCAAAATGCATTATACCACAGAGCATAATGCACTCAATTTGATCTCACATTTCAGTATGCTAAATGACTCGAAAGTAATTTATTATTTGATCAGATCAGCCAAGAGTTTTGCTCAAAATTGAAATAAAATGCAAAATAATTTGTCATGTGACAAACACAGCAACGCTTGACAATGCAGCATACTGCTAAAATCTGTACTATTTGGAAAAAGAAGTATGCAATAATTCAGCATTTACTCCACAGTATGCTAGTATTCCATAGGCATTATTTCAAAATGTTTTAAATTATCACCTGACCTCATTACATTTTTAATTCAAGCAAGTGGCATCTTCTTTGAAATAAAACTATTTTGCATTTTTAATACAGTGTTGCATAAAAATGTCAAGTCGACCAAAATGCATTGTGAGATACAGTGTAAGTAAGGACAGCTCTACATAGGACTCAAGCCGTATGGACTACTTTTATAATGCATTTCATGTAAGAATGTATAGGGTGGAAATGACATAAGGGTGAGTAAATGCCCAAATTTAAATTTTGTGATGAACTGCTTCTTTAACTGTGTTTTTGAATGAAAAAGATCCATACACTATTTTCCTGTCCTACATTTGTAATTTAACCCAGCTAACATATTTGTCACTTCCCATTGTTCCCATCGAGGACATCATGTTCTTTTGTTTTAGGTTTTATCTAACATGTCTAATGCTTATGTTGTTCTTCCATAACTGAAAATGACACTGGAATTTGTTGTAATAAATGTAAGCGAATGAATACATTTGCGTTTTGGCTTTGAAAGAAGTCCTTATTCCTCTTAACCATTTGCCGTCTTTGTTTTTCTCCTCTTCAGAACAAGACCAAAAGTTCAGTACAACGGATATGCAGGCCACGAGAACACTAATGGACAAGCTTCATTTGAGAATCCCATGTACGATACAAACATGAAGCCAACAGAGGCAAAGGCTGTGAGGTTTGATACGACCCTCAATACAGTCTGCACAGTAGTATAGCCTTCATTATCAGCTCTGGACCGACCTGCCTCATGGGTAAGCAGCAGAGCAGTGGGTACCAGACGCCAATACTCCTTTACGACTGACTGCACTTTGCTATAGATGCGACTTACTTTTATCACAAGCTTACAATGGACAAAATAAAACCGATGACTATGTTTTTTACAGAAAAAAAAAAAAAAAAAAGCCCCAACAACATCAAAACCCCAGAAAAAAAACTTCAAAGAAAAAAGATTTTTCAAAGAAAGAAGCTCACTTGACGCATGTTCGGCCAGAACTGAGGTCAACATTCTTTCTGGGATCTGTACGTGGCACTTAAAGGATGAAGGTTTTTTGCTTTTATCTTTTTTTGATGTATTCCCCCCTTAAAAGACTTCCTGGGAAAGATACTGAAGTGTCTTTGAACGCCACAAAGTTGTTGACACGATGTATTTTCTTCAGTGAAGACAAACCACAAAACGAGAAAGCAACTGGACTACTGTGGCTTAGCACACTTAATAGATCTCCACCTAGAAGGTGACAAAACGCTACAACAAGCTCAAAGGAGAGACGCTCACCTCCGGGTGGAGGATGGAACTCAACCACTGCGTTGAAAAAGAGAATAAACTTTATGGCACAAATTTTGCACTAGTATGAAATGGATATGAAATCAATGTATTGGAAGAAACAAAAAATAATATACAGGGTTTTATTGACCATGTGTATATAAACATAAACCCATATCCATAGAGAGCATGATGTCATGCTACGGCTATCAAGAGAGACTGAGTTTATTTTTGAAATGAAGTTCTGTTTACGTTTACAAGGTGATAAGGACACAATTGAAACTTACGATCATCATTTTTTCATTGCTTTTTAATGCGTTCATCATACACCACGTCACGCACATGTTGTACTGTTCCTTCGTGGCGTGTCGGATCACTCGCTTGGACCAGCGTATGCTGACAAATTACATTTCATTTTTACATTTGAAATCATAATAGCTTTACTCACCAATTTGCCGTATCACCAATTTGCTTTCATTACGTATCAAATATACCTCTTGTGCAGAACATGACTGTATGTTGATGGCGCAGATTTTGAGTTCATTCATCAGCTCTGTGTGGATGCCTATACAAGATTTATCTGAGCCCACAAGTTGATGCTTTTTTTTATTGTCATTATTTTTCCATTCCTCCTTTTTCCGAACCAGTGTGCGTCTCCCGTGCCCATTAGAGACACAAAATCAGCGGGGTTAAGATCAAACTTACTCTCGAAGAAACACTGCCTTATTAGATTCAGAAGCATGACCGGGCCACACCGGTTCCCAATGACCCATATCATTAGTACATTAACCTAGATGAAGAGCGTAGGGCTGCTGGGGTGCATATTCACTGTGATTTAAATGTCATGACCACGCTGATTCCAGTGCATGTGCTAAAACTGTAAGTGCTCCCATTTTTCCACGTGAACAACGTGATGCCTGATGTTTTCTCAATGCTGTGTTACCATATGCACTTGAGCGCTACACAACAACGGCTTCGAGCATAAAATGTGCACAATGACATTGTTGTAGGCTTGCTGTCGGATATCATGTCATTTCCACGTTGATTGTATTTTTTTTAAGTCAAAACCACGTTTTGTTTCCAAATGCGTTTGGATGTGTTCCATTGAGTCATGCTCTCAGATCGAACCATTTCGGCCCGTTGGTAGTGAAAGGGCGGTGTCAGTTTTCTCACACCGCGGATGATCCACGTCTTGCCTTTTCTCAGGCTTGCTGCAATAATGTTTCTTTGTTCGGTTGCGTTTTGTACAGTTTTGTTTCCTCACAACTGTAAAATAGTTTTGCGACTGTCGAGCTGTAAAACTGCATTCAAACCAACAATCGTGCTACTCGCCATTGTCATTCGATCATGTGCTGCTGACTTGAAGTAGGTGCAAAAGATGTTTTTGTACAGAAATATATTTTTTATGCAGAATTTGTAAAATTATTAAATATGCTGTACTTTTTTGATTCATGTAGGTAAAATTGTTCAAATAAATGTTTTTACTGTATAAAAATGTAAATTAATTGTTTATCTACCCATAAGTATATATCTATGGTTTAAAATTTTCCAACTAATGTCAATATATACGAGCTTTTATGAAAGATTCAGCTCGTATGTGTTCTTTGACGTGAGCAAAGTCATGAACCCTAGAGAACTGTACTGCAGATTGTTAAATGACAAATATTTTGAAAAGTATTATTTGAGATAAATATTAAACTTTTTTCTAAAAGTGCTCTTTCTGTTTTTTCTTCAGTGAATTTCTTGACGTATGCTGTATCTGACTGGAAGTCACTAGCATGGTATGCTTGTAAGTAGGGGAAGTAAATATTTTACTTGACAATTCTGTTATGATTCTATACTAAATGCAATGCATCATGAAATCAAAATTTGTAAAATATATAGGTGTGAATTCAGGTCATCTGTGACACATTTTGACACCCTACTGATAATGAATTTTAAAAAAAAATAGAGAAAATACTAACTATATGCAAGCACAAAATAAAATACACTGCTGAGTAGTGATCAGCACTATGGATGGCAAATTGATCTATTAACATTTTCCATTAGACATAAGGTAATACTAATGATTATTTTGAGTTTAATTTATCTGACCACATTCACACACTGGATGTACGGATAGTAGCTATGGTACTGATGTCTATTTTGGATATCACATAATAGTAAAATAGGCTTAGGTCACATTTCACCCCCAAAATTACAATATTAACAATATTAGGAAATTATATATATATATATTCTTATGTATTTTTTAATTCTAATTACTTAATATGTCTCCAGAATGTAGTGAATACCAGTACACACACACACATATTCTGGTAGAGGAAGAAGGTTAAAGCTGAAGCAGAGTGAATGATGAAAGTTATGGAAGTATTTGATATTCAGCAGATCTAAAGCCTGAAGGAAACATCAGTTTCTTAGTTTTGACACACCTTTGTGAAAAGGGGTTGGTAATGCTTAATGTATCAGTTAAGAAGAGTTTAATACTTGCATGTCTTGCCTGTTTGAAAGAGAGTCCTGATGAGGCTCCGGTTGGCCTTTGCTGAAGTTTTGTTGATGAGAGAGAACCAGGTTTGATGCAGAAGGTCACTGATGAATAGAAAGACTTCTAATTCTTCAAGAGGAAGAATCTCGGTCTGAAAAAAAAAACTATATCTGCTGTGTTTTTAGACAGTAGTCTTTTGAAGCTTGAATAATAAAAGGAATATCTTAAGACGGGAAGATTGGAGACATGTTTATACATTTCTCTCAGGTAGTTATATATTGAATGTATAGGATTAAAAGGGTTTATTCGTCTGTTTCAAAATGAGAATGAAACTCTCTCTTAATGCTTTGGATTGTGAAACAGTCTTATCTTGTTGATGTGTCTTTTCAGCCATGGTAACCAGAGGCCTGGTTGTTAGCTGCTGTTTGGAGGTAGTTCTTCTGGCACCTTTTTTTTGTTTGTTTTTTGCTTGTTTTTTTGCATTATGGGAATTATAAATAGGAAAAGATAAATAGAGAAGAAAGCAGTAGTTAATTGTCATGATATTATGCCATAATATTATGAACAAAAATGTCCTTAAAAACGTCAGCTTAAGCAAAATATAATTTAATATTTCTTTATTTGGATTTCACTGGGGTTCAGCCTCATACAGTGATGGGTAAATTTATGAATTGTCCAACAACTTATTTTATTTATTTTTTATTTATATATATTTTATTTATTTATTGGTTTTGCTTACATTAGATTACATTTGCATTAGAGCCATATTTCACACTCACTGACTCACTAACCCTTGAATGTAATGGTGTGTTCACACCAGACGCGAAGCGAATATGCGCATCGCGTCACTCATGCTGGAGATAACTACAATCACTGTTTTGTACCTGTTGTCAAAAAGTCCCAAATACAATGGAAAGCCAAACACCGACGTGTCTGGGTTCACAGCACCATCCAGAGGTCCTGTATTAACGTGTGTCTTACATTTTACTATTGTATATATACACTGATATTATTATTAATTTTATTATTGATAGCATACAATATACATACAGCATAAATACAACTATCACTAAAACTGATTTTAATTGTTTTCTATGCTCCAGACCTATATAATAACAGACGGCTGCAATAATGCTCTCTTCTATTGTCTGATTCAACTGCACATGTCAAGAAGCTCTTTGCTGATTGGCTTGCACGAGAAAATGCGAATTTTCCACTCGAGTTGACATTTGTGAACTTGCACGGAAGACGCGATTGAGGCGAATATCGTGCAGTTGCTGCAAACGCATCGCTCAATTCGCCTCTATTCGCGTCTTTGCGTTGACTTTGTATGTAATCTACTCGCGCGAATAATTACATTCGCGTCTGGTGTGAACACACTGTAAAGCCCCGTTCACACCGCCAGCGACTTTTTTGCTGCTTGTCGCTTGTGGCTGGCAATTGAGGTCGCTAGTGGGCGTTCCCACTACTGGTTGCCTAGTTACCCCCGTAACACTCCACTACAGCAGATGAATCACGTGCTGTCCACTGACTTCACTCCCATTGGTTGTCGCTCACGAAATTCGCTGCTTATTTGCATAAAGTTGAAGAATTCTGAACTTTTGTCGCTTGACACGCCCACATTCCGTCGCCAACGGTCACTGTCGCTCGTGTCGCCGGAAGTCGCCAGCTCTCCATTGAAAATTAATGGGATTATGTTGCTCTGTCGCTGTGTGTCGCTGGCGGTGTGAACGGGATTTAAGAGTTCCTAGTGGTAGATTGAGCACTTGCTTTCATTGTTTAACTGTAGTTTTTTTGGGGGGAAAATAATAAAAAATGGTTAATCAGTCACCAGTATTCAGTTTATCTTGCTTACTCCACATTTGTTTTTCATGGCATCCTTCCAGTGTCTTAGTTTGTGAGGTGTTGTGAAGCAGCACACTTCTAGACCTCATTAACTCTAAACACTCATTTAAACATAATTATGTGTAGTGTATAGTGAAGTTTTTGTTTTACAAAAAAAAACA